TTTGTGTAGTTTAGAAAATATTAGATTCCCCATTTCTGCTGAACTGTAGTGTTGGGTAAACTATCCCTCTAAGCTGTATTCCCAGTGGGGGCCATTGGCTATAGATGCCACACTGTAGACAAAAAACTAACTCACACACTCTGTGAACCACCTACACACTGCAACACAAAGCTGCTGGAGCTGTAATAGTTTAGTAGAGATTACCACAGTTTGCCATCACTGGCCCAGTCTAAAGAGCTTTTATAAACCATCTGATATTCAGACTCCTGCCCTGCTTTAAAGAAATAGTTCACCCAAAAATGACAACTTACTACAATACATCTCATCCTCATGGACTGAACCAGATTTGACTGTTCTTGCTGTGAGATGTTACTTCCCTCTTCCACCAAGGCACTTGCAATTTCCCGGACACGTCTGGAGGTACACTTGGTTTGACACTGTGAGGACGATCAGCCGGGCTGGGCATCTGGGCATCTTTATTCTGGTGTTTTTCAACATCAGTAGAAAGGTCTCTTTAATGTCCAAAATTATTTTAACTGTGACATTAATTGCCTTCCAATTAATTTCAAACCACAAGTGTCTTAAGGACTGTTCCACATGCGGAATAAATCTTTAATCATTTTTGCAAAATAATCATTACATTACATTTTTTTTTTTTTTAATTTGTAATTTTAGTTGGCTATATATATATATATATATATATATATACACTGTATTAGGGCTGTCAAAATTAATGCGTTAACGCATGCGATAATTTTTTTCAGTTTAACGCGTTAAAAATATTTAACGCAATTAGCGCAGGGGCGGAGCTAAGCTTGGCCACCCCACTCTTTTTTCTTGACAAGAATTGCGTTTATTTAGATGCAGAACATATTTACGACCACATCAAACAGCAGACTTTTCAGATGCGCACTCCAACTTCGCCTCAGCGCCAGGTGCAAGTCAAACAAGCGTGAAAAAGGTACAAGTGACAAGGGAGCTTTAGTAGAACAACAGTGAACTGCAATCAGATGAGATGTTGTCAGGTAAAAACTAATTTTCCTGTCCTGTCAGCCATTATACTGTGCTGGTAGCACATGCTCTTCAATTGCACGCGCAAAAGGGGTGGTGCGTGCTGTAGCCTATACCATTTCATATTAAAGTGCAAAAGAAACAACAAGCATGCAATATTGTACTTATGTCATCAGTTAAGTCATGAAGTTACCAAAAAGGCGATTAAATCTACCTTAAAACTGTACATGCATTTAAGTATTTGCTATATATGAGTCATATTTTAGAACATGTCTATGAAATGCAGTGGTTTTCAAAACTGTTCTGGAGCAGCCCAGCACTGTCTCCCTCATCTAACACCCGATTCAACTCGTCAGCTTATTAGTAGAGACCTTAAAACCTGAAGTGAGTAAGAAAATGTAAAGAGCTGTGAGAAAATTCGATGCGTGTCAGATCCAAAATTAAGCAGCCAAATTAACCTAATAACCCAGCAGCTGTGATGTCTCTTAATCAAAGAACAAAAGAAAAAAAGGAAATCAATAGCTTTTGTAGCTTTAAGGATTCCTCTATATTTCGTTTAGAATTTAGTGTTTGATAACTTTATTCAATTTCTGTGTATTTCCTACCTGTTGGAGGCACAGGTAGCTACGAATGACATTTATTATAATGGGTTTATGTGAAGAAGTTGTTATTTTTTAAAGTCTAAGAAATGTTAGAATTGATAGCTCTCAATTATACTGTAATGTTGAATGGCAATAGTAAATGGCTGAATATTAGTGAAAAGAAAACTATTTTATAGAGACAACAGTAGTAGACAGCAGTATTGGTATGAGTTATACTTGCCTTCAGTCATAAAAAAGATGCCATTAAACACATATTTAAAATATAATGTCTTTATGTTGTTTCTGCTTCATCTTGATTATTGAATGTGAAATTATTGCAATATAAAATTATATTTAAAAACTTGAATGTTAGGTGGGAGAGAGAGAGGAGAATCTTTCTTGATTTATAGAATGTACATCTTTGACTGTAAGAAGATCTTGCCTTGAAGTCCCACATCAAAGGGATTTTTCAACACATGACCCTCCTACTGGCCATTATACTGTATTATATGAACCTATGTTCGAGCTGTTAGTCATAGATGGAATGTCTGTGTGAAACTTTAAGCATGTGTACATTGCGTCAGTCAGTACTTGATCTAATATGCACTTTCTTTCTTTTTTTCTATGCTCTTTCTCTGACTCACTGGGTCCATAAAATAGAAAAATAAAGAAAAACTATTTTTATATTTTTCTTTGATCTGACGTATGACCTCTTTCATTTCATCTTTCTCTCCCACATTTCTATTGACCATAACAGATGAACTACAAAAATGAAAGAGAACTGAATGACTTCACAATCCTTGCCGCCTGTCCTTTGTTGAGTATGATGCTGCCTGGCTTTGTCCTTATTGCTTGAAAATCGTTAAGTCAAAGGTTTAAAAAAAGTTTGTGACTTTTCAAGTAAATCTAATTAATGATGGTAACATAACGCAGGTTCATGAAAGGAGGTCTATGACTCCTGCTTCTTTTCAGACATAAAATTAAATAAAAAAACTGCATAAAATCAGTGCAATTGAGGTACTGCTATGCTACAAGCAATATACATTTAACTCCAATCCTAAAGGAGTGCATGCTGCCAAAAATAAAAAATAATCACTAAATCAATATAAGTCAGCTTGGTAGACCTGTACTTTTGAGCTCAAGCAGTTTTGTAATTTGGCAAAGATTGCAGCCCTAGACTGAAATGGGAGGGGAAGCTCTATTTTTCAAAATTCAACCACTGTATATCATAAAATTAGCCCCATTTCATCCAACAAGAGCAGCCTCTGCCATCACCATAACTCTGATGAGCCTTCAGTGGAAGTGTTTGATGACATGGAGGGTCAAGGATAAGGAAGAAAAATCAGTCATGAGGGAATTTGATTGGTTAAAAGGAATATGATGTAAGTTTTATCTCAAGGGTAAACAATGTCCATGAGTGTGAGAAGCTATACACGGCCACTATGGACACTATAATATCGCCTGCTACTCTTGTCCCTCTCTCAGCCTGTGGGGCATAAGCAGAACAGGACACTATAGAAACTGCAATGACTGCCAACCTTCTGCAACGCAGCTAACAAAGAGTTTGTGCAGAGAAACAGGGTATGTAAGTTCACACTTGACTAAACCAAACTGTATGTCTCTTTGATGATAATCTACTTAACATTTGGAAAGACAATGAGAATCTATTTCCATGTATAAGTATGCCCTGAAGCACAAGTGCCTCACTTGGCCACACCAGCAGAAGTGGGGTGGCAGCATTAGAAACAACTGTATCTTCTTCCACGTTCCCATGGGCCTGACTGATGCCACATCCATCTGTCTTCCTGCATCCGTTGCACCAATTTATGACCTCACACATTCTGTGTGTGAGTGTGTGTTTGAGTTATGTCCTTTAAATTCCCTGTACATCCTCTCTCTCTCTGTATCTTAGCAGAGAACAACAAGCCAGTCGCCACTGCTCATCTCATCAAGCATACAGAGGAACAAAAACACTCACGCAGACCAACAAACACAATAATGATTCTAGTTTAAACCTCTCTGCTGGTTAAGAGCATGATTATAGCGCTTTGGCTGTCAAAAGTCATTTTGGCTTGCAAAAACAGTAAACACGGCAATTTGGGCTTACTTGTTGATTTGATTCCCGCTTGCTACATGGAGTGGAAGAAAAGCAGAGGGAAAGAGTTGCTGCTGCTCATCCACAGATCATGTGGAGATAGATGTTTAGCGCTCTAATTCAGTGCTTTTCAGTTTCTAGGTTAGACCAACAAATAAATATGTTTAAGGGATGATACACAATCATATGGAAGCCCGTTTCCGCCACTGAATAAAAAATTTAAAAAAAGGTAATTGTGACTTTTTATCTCACAATTCTGACTTTTTTTCTCAGAATTGCATGATATAAACTCGCAATTGCGAGACATAAAGTCGCAATTCTGAGAAATAAAGTCAGAATTGCGTGATATAAACACAATTGCGAGTTATAAAGTCAGAATTGCGAGATATAAAGTCAGAATTCTGACTTTTTTTCTCAGAATTGCATGATATAAACTCGCAATTGCGAGACATAAAGTCGCAATTCTGAGAAATAAAGTCAGAATTGCGTGATATAAACACAATTGCGAGTTATAAAGTCAGAATTGCGAGATATAAAGTCAGAATTCTGACTTTTTTTCTCAGAATTGCATGATATAAACTCGCAATTGCGAGACATAAAGTCGCAATTCTGAGAAATAAAGTCAGAATTGCGTGATATAAACACAATTGCGAGTTATAAAGTCAGAATTGCGAGATATAAAGTCAGAATTCTGACTTTTTTTCTCAGAATTGCATGATATAAACTCGCAATTGCGAGACATAAAGTCGCAATTCTGAGAAATAAAGTCAGAATTGCGTGATATAAACACAATTGCGAGTTATAAAGTCAGAATTGCGAGATATAAAGTCAGAATTCTGACTTTTTTTCTCAGAATTGCATGATATAAACTCGCAATTGCGAGTTATGAAGTCAGAATTGTGAGATAAAAAGTCGCAATTACCTCTTTTATTTTTTATTCAGTGGCGGAAACGGGCTTCCATACAATCAGGCTGCCATTATAGCACAATCCCTGACAGATCTGTGACGTGTACTGTTGACTGTATGACTCTCTGCAGGTCTAAAAGGTCTATAGGGTGCAACATTCAGAAATTACTTCTTGAATTTGAAATGATGTAGCAAACAGAATAAATAATTGCAATTTTAATTATAATGACAGATAGCTGGACTGACATGTGACTGCACAGATGTGTGGAAACACCTAGGAATGGGTGTAATTGTCTAGGTGTCTGTGGTTGAGAGGTGTTGGCAGCTTTTTACACTGATAATTAAAAAAAATCACAGTTTATGCTCACATGCTTTCTCTCTGTCACAAACACAAATACACAACTTACCAAGCCAGTACTCTCCAGTGATTTTGCCAAATCCTTCCCTGTAGGAGTCCCACTCCCTGAAGAAGTTCACAGACCCATCCTCCCTCCGCTGGATTACCTGACAAAAAAAGCAGAAACAGAATAATAATTAACAACAAATTTGTTTCAAAACTTTGTTAGTGGGTTGCATGATGTTCTTCAGATAACTTCTGAACAACAGGAAAATGTCCTGTTGTGTTCTAATGTATGATGTATGTGTGTGAGCTTGTGCATTTGAATAAAGTAGGCCTACTGTGTGATTTTAGGGCTCTTCCTCAGAGTAAATCCATGATAAGAGTGAAAGATTAAACTCTCTCAGCAGAGACTGATATGAGACCTGAACAAACATCACGATGGAACAGCTCAGCATTGTGATCTTAAGGATAATATAATTTAATGGAGTATGCTATCTTGATTTAGTCAAGACTGACTCAGAAGAGTAGGACTTACAGAGCTCATAGTCCATTTGCGTATAGACACAATCACATACTGTACAGTGCCATGCAAAAGTTTGAGTGCACTTCTATCATGCATTTTTTTATTCTTTAAACTATATGACTAGTTTGAGTCACTTTGAATTAAAAAAAGACTGAAATGAAAAAAAAATGAATATCAGAATGTCTCAGTATTTGAGCTGTCCCCCTTTTGCATTAAATGACAGCAGCACTTAAACTGCATGAACTCCACACATTTGTGTAAACAAATTGTGAAGTAAACTAAAACCAGTAACTTAGTATGAAATGTTGGATCAACATATTATATTGGAACAAATTTTCTACTAAACAATCCTAAGTAAAACTCTATCCCCTAACAAACCCCTAAAATCATTAAGAAATTGCTGCTAAAATGTTTTAAACACCTGAAAACCAGTGTTAACCCAAACCCTAAAATCTGAATGGTTGGTTAAAAGGTTGTTGAAGGATAAAAACATGTTTACAGTGTTTTCAAAAGGATTTTGCCAGTGTACAACTGTCACAATATCTGGTTGGTGTGCCCATGTAAGGCCACTAGAGTAGGCCACGTTTCTTTATTGTGTTTGTTTCTCTGGACTTCAGTTCCCATCACCCTTTGCTTTGACAAAGTGAATCTAATGAATCTTCACAGTCTCTGTCTCGCAAGCGAAGGTCAAGGAGGAAGAGGGCAGCAATGACTACCCCGGTGGTTCCGAGTCTGGTGGTCCTGGAGGACCCGACTGTGGTGCTATCGAGTCCGGTGGTCACGGAGGACCCGATTTTGGTGGTCCCGAGTCTGGCGGTCCTGGAGGACCCGACTCCGGTGGTATCGAGTCCGGTGGTCCTGGAGGATCTGACTCCAGTGGTCCCGAGTCCGGTGGTCCTGGAGGATCTGACTCCAGTGGTCCCGAGTCTGGTGGTCCTGGAGGACCCGACTCTGGTGATCTCAGAGCTCGCCACAGAACTGCCCAATTTCATTGCTGCTGCCATTTTCAAGAAGGCCGTCTTTGCCTTTGGACTCTGGACTGTCCTGCGTGCTTGGGAGCATTCAGAGTCCACTCATGAACCTGCTCCAGTCCGGGAGCCCTCAGAGTCCACTCCAGAGCCTGCTCTTGTCCAGGAGCCCTCAGAGTCCACTCCAGAGACCGCTCCAGTCCAGGAGCCCTCAGAGCCCACTCCAGAGTCTGCTCCAGTCCGGGAGCCCTCAGATTCCACTCCAGAGCCCACTCTAGTCCGGGAGTCCTCAAAGTCTGTTCCAGCCTATGAGTCCATTGCAGAGCCCACTCAAGTCTACGAGTTCATTCCAGAGTTCTCTCCAGTCTATGAGTTCACTCCCGAGCCTGCACCAGTCTACGAGTTCACTCCAGAGCCCACTCAAGTCTACGAGTTCACTCCAGAGCCCACTCAAGTCTACGAGTTCACTCCAGAGCCCGCACCAGTCTATGAGTCCGCTCCAGAGCCCACTCAAGTTTATGAGTTCACTCCTGAACTCTTAGTCTGCCCTTTTACGGTCAAGGAGACTGTTGCTGAGCTGCCCGTCTGTCCTTTTGCAGCCGTTGAGGCTGTTACTAAACTCTGTGCTCTTCTTTTCAGTCCTGCCTGGCCCGTTAGGTTGTTCATCTGCCTTGTCAGCTCCGCTGAGGTGGTTGTCAGCTCCACCTTTACGGTCTGCCATGCTCCTGACTCTGCCCTGGTCGCCTGCCCTGCCGGCCCCGCCCTGGCACCCTTGTCTGCCTCTGTCTCTAGGCCCTCTTCCACTACACGGGCCTGGCCCACCCCCCCTCCACCTAATCCGCCTCCGTTCCACCTCCCCCCTGGACTTCTTTGACTTTTTATGGAGCGTCTGGTATCCTTAAGTGGGGGTTTATGTCACAGCCAGCAGCTGGTATGCCTTGACAGCCACCAGAGGGCATTCTTCTGGATTATTGTTTGTTTTGTATTGGACTTCATTTCCCATCACCCTTTGCTCTCTCAATCTGATCTCATTGTTTCCAGCTGTGTGTGATTAGTCTTGTTAGCTCCTCTATATATACCGTGTTCTGTGTGTCTTTTGTTGCTGCAGTATTGAGTTCTGTTATCTGGTTTTCTGTTCTCAGTTTTTGTGGGTTCCTCAGCCCGCCCCCCTGATCCGCCTCCTTTCCACCTCCCTCCTGAACTTTTTTGTGTTCTGGTGGAGCATCTGGTATCCGCTCCTTAAAGGGGAGGTAATGTCACAATGTCTGGTTGGTGTGCCCATGTAAGGCCACTAGAGGGCACATTTCTTTACTGTGCTTGTTTCTCTGGACTTCAGTTCCCATCACCCTTTGCTTTGACAATCAAGTCTCAATTCATTCAGCTGTGTCTCATTTCCTTGTTAACTTATCCTCATATAAGCCCGGTTCTTTGTGCCTTTGGTTGCTGGTTTATTATTTTCTGTTATGTGTTTTCTGATGCTCTGATTTTGATTATTCTTTGTTTTGGGATTTTTTACAATAAATTATGCTTTTGGATCTGCTTGTTTTGGAGCATTCAGTGATGACGACAACAACAAGCAGAGGAGGAGGAAAGTTGAATTAGAGTTCAAATTTTAGCAAGAAGGACATTAAAGATGATGCGTCCTAAGAAAGTGCAATAGCGGACATGCACAGAATAAAAGAGATCAAATGTGCCAGCATAATGAGTCTGTCAAAATCACTGACACTAGTTTTGACTGTTGTCTGTGTGAGAGTTTTTTTTTTTTTTTTAATGGCACAGAAGGGCAGTCAGTGCAATATGGTAATCAGAAACAACACTCAGGGGTCTGTGTTTGTTCTTCTGCATTATCTGTAATCCCTCTGGGTAAATGGCATGTTTGCAAAACACAATGCGTCTAACGCATTTCATTTCTCCTATCACACTAAAATGTCTGGTCAGTTGGAGTCATGAACAGGTGGACTTTGTTTTCTGTTGAAATTCGGTAGCGACGAGAGATGGGGAGGGAAAGGGGTTGATCCAATACGGGATGACAGTTGTCAGTCATCTTAAAGGTTTCGCTCTCTCCCGCATCACTCCCACCCTGTAGCTGCCCTGGAGGCTCCTGGGAGATCAACCCTGCCTGCACAGAACTGAGGCAGACACCAGTCAAGGTTGAAATTACACATGCATCCACACACACGCATACAATCATGCCTGTGTGTTATCTTGCCTTTTTTCAGTAGATTGAAGGCAGGCAAGAAGTGAAGGTCAAAGGGCCATTGACCATCACTGTCTAACAACAGTGTCAGCAGAGGCAGAGAAACAGACAGTGAGAGAGAGAGAGGGAGTATTAAAGGTCAAATTAGAATCGGTCGACCTCTTTCTCGCTGTCCCTGTCACCTAACAGCTTTCAGGAATGAAGCAATCCCTTTCCAACAAATACACATAAAAGAACGACTTTCATTTGTAATGTGAAACTTTTATCTAAAATGATTGTGGTTAGTTTCCCTTATTTTTAAAGGGATAATACACACACACACACACACACACACACACACAATCCGTCATTTACTCACCTTCATGTCATTGCAAACATTGAAAAATTATATTTTGAAAATGTTTGTTGTTCTTGTCTATACAATGAAAGTCAATAGAAATCAAAGCTTTCAAGCTCCAAAAAAGTGTAAAAATTAAAGTTAAAATTAATTTCCAAAAGGCTTGACTGGTATATCAGATCAAAATGTAAATTAAAATGTAATACACTCTCAATGAAATATGGCTATATAAACTTCACAAATGTCACCGTGCTTGATCATATGAAATGAGAAAAGAAATTTGATGTTAGTTGAGGTTTGTGTTGCCATATTTGATGTAGTCTGTGTACATTTCTGAAAATTTAAATCTGTTCATCATAAAATGATCGTGCTGCTTCAGAAGACTTAGCATAAACCAGTAGGGTCATATGAATTACTTTTTACCCTTTTTGGAGCTGGCAAGTTTTGAATTAATAGTAATAATGTGCACAAAAACAGCTGACAATTCTTTAAAACATTTTTTTTATTATTCTACTAAAGATGGTGGATCCTGTAAATGGACCTTAAAAATGAATGGAATTTCACACAGCTAGTAATATACACTAAATAATAATTCACACTACACATCTGAGGAAAATGTTAGTTTGTAGTCTCTATCTATTATTCAGGTGGGGGAAAAAAATCACCAAAAGCTTCAATGAGCTGTTTCATGTCATTCACACAATCAAAAGACTTAATGTCACCTCACATACAGTGTGTATAGAAAATAATCACTCCCCTTTAAAATAATCACGTTTTGTTGCTTTGCAGACTGAATTGAAGACGGACACAGTTTTTGTTTTATCCACCATGTTTTATTTACTCTTATAAATACAGCTACTTATAACATCTTATAACAACAATGTGCAACTTATAACATCTAAGTGAAAGCTATAACACCAACATTTCAGTCCTTGGTAGTGCAACTGCAGCAAGCACAGTGAAGTCTATTATTAAGAAGTGGAAGGTATTGGTACAACACAGACCCTCTCTGGATCAGGACGTCGCTCCAAACTGGATGAAAGAGCCAGGAGGAAACTGGTCAGAGAGGCTCCCAAGAGGCCTACAGCGACTCTGAAGCAGTTGCAGGAATTTATGACAAAGAGTGGTTATTGTGTGCA